AATTATCTTTATAAAAATAAATAATTGTTTTGTTAAAAAAAATATCATGGTTTGTCAAGTGATAAGATCTATTTTTTATTTATTTTTAATTTATTGACCCGTAAAAATTCCATCAAAACTCTCATAATAAAATTTTGGAATACCTAATAGTAAATTAATGTTTTGATATATTAAATACTTTTTAAAATTTCTATTTCCTTTTTACACAATGATCGGAGATGTTTTTTTTATAGATCCATTCCAAAAATTTTTTTTAGAGTGTTAAAAAGTACAATATTTTCTGAAATTTAATCATTATTGACATTCTATATTTCTTTTAAGCAAAAAAAATTATTATTGCCAAAATCCGAGTTAATTTGGATTTAAAAAAAAAATTTTAAATTAAGGAGATCGAAAAATGTCTGTCCCATTTTTTTTTGATAATGTCATTTCAAAATTAGTATCCCTTAAGTAACAATTTCATTAAAATTATTTTATTTATTCTATGTCAATAAACTATTCACAAATATTAATAAATGATTCAATTCAAAATGAATATCAAAACTCAAAAGATAACTTTTTAACAAATTTTTATTATTGATGATTAAAATATCGAGTACATTTGTCCAATCTAGTTCGTAATGTTATTTAATAGTAGTGCACTGAAGGATCTTTCCATCGATATTCGAGTAAAAATCAGCTTGAACTACTCGCTAGAGGGTATATAATTCAGGTTCTTGAAATTTTTTGGATAGCCAAGATAGCAAAATATTTTGATGGGAAAGCAATTTTCGGTTGTATTTTAAGCAATTAATTTTTCTCGTAATCATTAACGAATTAAGGTTAAATCTTCACCTGCATTGACCCAAATGCACCTTCTAACCATAACGTCGATGCCCTCGCCCTCGCTGAATCCCGCAAAACCATAAAGTACAGTTCCTTAGACCCTTCTTTCTTATTCATACCCATCGCCTGCACCATTCTCACCACCTTCGGTAGCAAGGCTCAACGTTTTTTCAAAGATTTAGGCAAGCGGATCCGCGAAAAAACCGACCAGCCAAAGGAATCCCTCTTCTTACGCCAAAGACTTGCTACCGCCATCATTCGTTCCAACTATCTAAGCTTCATCTCTTCCATTGAATAACCTCCCATTTTCCAAGCTTCATTTTTTTTATCCCCTATCCTTTCCCGTAAATTATATTTCTACAATTTTTCACCTTTATTTATTTTACCTTTTTAAAAAATTAATTATTTGCTAATATATTTTGACATCATATCATATCAGTAAATATTCAAATAAAGTATCCCATGACCGGAAAAAAAAAATAACAAATAAATACATTTTCGGCTCAAAATTAAATTCAAGCCAACTATTGGACCAACTAATTAGAGCCAAATAATAGGACGATTCCAACTCAAGCCAAAGCCAACTCACTAGAGCCTAATCCAATTTTTACTACTTTAGGTCAGACCCCGAAAATTACTGATTAAATAAACATATTACCCGCATTTTTTGATCATACATAAATTATAGATATCTAAAAACCGTTAAATTCTTATAATAAAGTTAGCCCGGTCCTAGAAGATAATTATTTCGAATTCGATACTATATATTTAATTATTATTGAATTGAACTACTCTACCTCTAGTTTTTAAATTGGTTTATCGATCAACTCGAGTTTGCGACTATGTAAAGTAAAAATTATCAAATATTTTTATCTCAAGATAAGAACGTTTTATAAAAAATAAGGATCATTCTTTTTTTAATACGATAATGTGAATATTAAACTATTCGTCCTCTAGTTTTTTATTTGGGTTCCCGATCACAACTTGAGTTCGCCACCCGAATTGCTAGTTTAAAGTAAAAATTATACAATATTTTCAGATTATAGAAACAATTTTTAGCAGAATATTCGCAATAAAATATTCTAAGAAGTTGGTTTTGTGTTGGTGCTCGAGTCTATGGATTTGGTTAACCAGATCTACCTGGGGTTGGTTCTGGTTTATTTTTTCGACCTAAAACCAGGGTCATGTTCATGTAAAATCAACTATTTAACCACACCAACATTTGCCCTAATTTTTTAAGTCCCAATATAATGCTTTCAGCTATTCTCATAGTGTTAATCATATCGATGCTATTTTTTTGAAACATTTTACTTTAATTTTACAGTGAAAAATTTCAAGTTAGGGAAATTTTAACGTCAAGGAAGATATTAATGATAAAATTAGTAGTGTATTTATACCTGTGAATGTGTAAATGTAAATTTTGAAAAATATTTTAGCCGATATCTATATTTTTGGTTCTGGATAGGGGTCATCTTCCTGTATCTCTTGCTGCATACGTGGCTGCAACTACTTTTAAATTTACGAGGGGCACAATATACCAATTTTTTTTATAAAATATGAAAAACTATATTTTTGAATTTTTTAGTTATATTTTAAACAGTACTATCGACCTTTTCATATTATTACTTCATTAGCGTACGCAGCGGGTTGGGGGGGGCAGGGGGACAAAATCCCCCCCCCCCCCAAGCCAAAAAATGCAGATGGCGGATTATATTTTTCAAAAATATTATTGTTAATATTAATTTATATTTGTTAATATTTATTCCTATCTCATATATATATTTAATTATATTTATTTATCACATTCATCTACTATATTTTATCAATTAATTTTGATTTCAAGTTTTCCTTGGCGTAATTTACCTATTATTTACAAATTTTAGTGGCGTATTATTTATCTAAATTTCTAATCAAATAATAATTATCTCTGATGTCCAACAGGGAGAAAGAAATTGCAAGCTTGCCCAACGAAATCGAGTCTCCTCCATCAAGCAGTAACAGCTTTTATGGAGTATGAAGAGCCGATTATTAATGCTATTGTTGAATTATCACAATGGTTGAAAGAAATATTTCCTCAGAAGCAAGAAAATTATTGGATTCAATACTTATTCCAAATTTTTTTTCTCATTGAATGTATTATTTAATTATACAACTATTTTATGTAATACTTTTTAAAAACATGACATTGACTTGATTAAGAAGGTGAGAATAGCGGAGAGCATTTTATTAGAACTCAAGGAAATTAGAGCTAATGTTGATGAAGAATTTTATATTTTATGTATTATTGTTGAGTCAAAAGCAGAGCTATACGTGTTTAATATTTGCCCCCCTCGACTTGCAGCAAGCAAGCTCATCGTCAAAACATTAATATAGGATCAGTAGAAGAGTATTATAAAACAAATTGCCCCTCTCTTAGATACATTTATAACTCAAATAAATGAATGGTTTTTAATTCTTCATGCAGCACTTACAAATCCGCATATATTACTTCCACAAAAGCCTTTCCAACCTTTTTCAGATGGTGATGGAAAAAAAAAATATTTGTTAGATTTTTATCACGAAGATGTTAAAATATCTTATGATGCCTTATTAGCTGAATAACTATGATTAAAAGATTAACTATGGTTGATACAGTCCCAAAAAGTGCTATGGATGCTTTACATTATTTCAAACAAATTTTAGATTATTCCCAATGTATTAAAATGGTTATATAATATTAGCAACTCTTCCCATTAGTAAACTAATGAGAGAACATTCTTTTTTTAAGAAGAATAACAGTGCCCTGCAGAGGTACCATTTGCAGGCCCAGATTTTAAAAAAAAAAATTTTTCGGCCCAATTTTTTTAAAAAAATTTTCAGGCCCGGCCCGATTTTTTTTAAAATAAATTATATTTATTTTTGATTTTTATAGCTAATATTTGGGATTTCAAATTTTTAGTTTTAAAATATACAGCTCGGCCCGGATATTACTTTAAAAAAATTTCAGGGCCAGCCCGGGTGTTTTTTTAAAAAAAATTTTGGGCCCGGCTCGGATATGTTTAAAAAAATTAAAATACAGTCAGGCTCGGGAGCCGGGCCTGCAAGTCTCTGAAAAACATATCTATGAAATACAACTTCTGAAAGTAGATTGAATGATTTGGATCTTGAATATTCATAGGCATTTAACGCCAAGCAAGGATAGATAATTGAAAAATTAGCTCAAAACATACAAAATACAATTATTCCCTAAGAAACATTTTGTGTATTAATTTATATTTCCAAGATTTAAATTTTTTATACTTTATATATTTTAAAGGCTCAAAAAAATTCAAATTTCAATTTGGGTCATTTAAGTGATTCATATCATGGTTATATTCATTTTATATTTTATAATTCACATTTATTTTATAGTTTTTCAATGCCGGTTTATATATATAATTTTTTTGTAATTCACATAATTTAAAATTGTGTATTAGAAAAGTTATTAGTCCTAATAAATTTATGCTTAGTATTTTTAATTAACAATAATATTTCTTAAAAAATTTTATTATCCCCCCCCCAGACCAAATTCCTGCGTACGCGCCTGTTTTACTTAATTAAAAGTTTCAAATAAAGCCACTTTTTGGGGGGAGAGGATATTAATTTATAGGCCTAGTGGTGTATAAGAGCTTGTGATCTGCATCGGGTCTAATTTTTTAAGCCCGGCCTGGTAGAATTTTTTTTATCTGTCCTGAAAAGCCCGACCTTAAATAAAATAAATATTATTTGTCAGCCGGCCCAGCAATTTATTAAAATATTTAATATTTCTTTTGATTGTAATAAAAATATTTTTCAAATAAAAAATATTAGCTCATTGTTTTATGCAAGAATTTTAAAATATATCAATTTATGTATCAAAATATATATCATATTTAACCCGGCTCGAAATTTTTTAAAAATATTCTCAGTCCGAACTGATATTATTATTTTAAAATAGACCCACCCAGCCCGAAATCTGTACATACCGGACCGTGATTTGCGGATCTTTAAAAAGAGTCATTGACTCCTATAACACAATTCTCTAATTTAAAATATGGTCTCTCTCTGTTTTGAATAAATCATTTATTAAAGTTTTTTGATTATTATGACAATGTGTCTACATTTTAAATAATTATATATTTTTTAAATTTTTATTAATTTTTCAATTCTCGTTGTAGCTAATGATTATATATACAATGCTCACATGACTGACTCCGGAGTGGCTGCCAAATCCTCACCTGCTTCAAAATACTATAGGAAGAAGATAAAAACACATTTTAATTCTGCTAATATTTGTCTCCATAATACGAGTATAAAGGATATCACACTACGCGGGAAAATTAAAGATTACGTGATACTGAATTATCGGTATTCCACGCATTCCGAAATCATTTATCTGCCCAGATATGTAAGTTATAAAAGTTAGACTAAAACAATTAATAGCTTCTTGTGCTTACAAATTGAGCAGTAACGTATAGCAATATTTCTATATAACGCTTCGTTGTTTAAATTAGAGTTTAAAACAAATTTGAGCGAAAATCTTTTTGAAAAGAGATTTTTGTCTAAATTTTAAAAATGTCAAAATCTTTTGCAATTTTTATGCAGAAATTTCTAAAAATTAAATTTTTTTTTTTAATTTAAAAAAATAACATTAAATACTAATTTTCAAGAATTTTTTTAATATAGAGGGATGGCAAATAGTAACCAATCAGCGGTTTGGTTTGGATTGGACCATACCACAAACCGGATTAATATAAATTTTAGAATTGTCCTACCAAAACCTACCTGACTTGTTGGGGTTTTGGAAATCGAGTTTCATCAAACCAGAACTTATTTCTATACGGCTTCTGGACTAGAAGTCTACAATTGGCTAGTTTTTAGCTACATTATTTTAGGAAAAATTAAATCTTTCGCCTCATTATTTTTTTAAAAATAATTATCCATTACTCCTAACTAAGAATAAAAAAGGATTAGAACCTTATAATTAGAGATGCAATGGATCCCGATTAATTTCCAAAAATTTTGCTCACACCAGAACGAGTCCGCTATGAGATCCTAATCCTATCATATAAATTTTCATTAACAAATTTAATTCTACAAAATATTATGCCAACAAAAATCAATCTGAAAGTTTTTAAAAACTTATTGACTATACTTTATTTATCTACAATAAACATAACAATTTAATACAAACAATTTAGTAAATGATCAAAAGCTAAGATAATATCAATAAAATATAAAAATAAATTAAAAGGTAATAATAGCAATTTTTAAAAAAATAACGAAAAGGAACATTTCTAATATCCTGGCAAAATTCGCCTTAAACCTCAAAGTCTGTAGTTGTGATGTAAATGTTTGCACGATACTAGAAAATAAGAATATAGTTATTTCTTAATTTTAATTAAACAATAGAAAATTAGAGCAAACATATATTTTAGGACGAAACGCTTAAAAGTTAAAACCAACCCTAATTTGATATTTTTATTTAAAAAATAATTATATATATATGTATAATTTTTTTCAGAAAAAATTCTCAGTTACTTGCGTACTATTTCAATCAGAAAATAGGTTGATATCATGCGGAGCTAGCGACGAGTGAGAATTATATAAATAATTAACATTAGTTTTCAAACCAAAAATATTTTTACCACCATTTCATTTGAATAAGATAATGATGAGTAACATCATACTTATTCTCCTAATTTTAAAAAAATTCATTAGGCTATCCGAAAAGTAGATTTTTTGACAAGAAGTTCGATTTTAATAATGACCGAGCAAAACTTCTTGAGCTTATACTTTTCTCAGTCACTAATTTGTTAAAATATTTTTGCGAGGTCCTAACTATTAATAAGGAATAGGCCGAAAACTAAGCCAAATGAATCAAATGCTAAATAATAAATTATCACGTAATAGCAAATTGGTGTAAAATTTAAAAAAAATGATTTTTTTTTATTTCGCCTAACACCACAAACTGATTTCTTACTAAAGGTCTGACTCAAGTTTACACAAACTTACGTTGAGCCTAAAAATTGCATTAAATTCATATCTATCGCTAAACATCATTTCTCTTAGTTTTAGCTAGGTCATAAAATAAAAATAAATTAGTTTGTTAAAGAAATTTTATGCGAATTTAAATATTTTGCCAAAATATTTTTTTGTTAACAGGAAAAAATATTAAGATAAATTTATGTAACATATGTTTTTTTGTTACAATTTATTTCTGTGTATGAAAATGGCAAAAAATAAAATCGACAATATTTCAATGGGGGGAGGGGGGTAGATATTTTATGGAGGGCTTAGCTTCCAAATGCCCCACCCCTAGTAGTTGTGGCCCCGAATGAGGTTCATGATCATGAATAAGTAGCTTAGACTATGAATTAGGTATGATATTAATTTGGCAGCCCCCTTAATAGTCTAATTTAATAACCCCGAGCTTCAATTCATCATAAAATAAAATGGAGAATAATATTTTCGTTTTTTTATTAAAATAAAATGATAACATTTCTCTAGTAATACATTTATTTAGTTTATATTTTTCAATTAAAAATTTTGACCCGGATTCTGGTCTTAAAATAAAAAAAATTGGACCGGGCTTGGGCCTACAAGGGAATTTTTTTTTGGGGGGAGGGGGGGTCCTAAGTGGAGCTTTAATTTATACTACTATATTAAAAAAATTAAATAAATTTTAGTTATTTTTATTTATTAAGACGGCCAATATAGTTTTTTAAAAAAAAATTATTTATTTCAATGATAGGCTGTTTTTTATAATCTTGGCAGATAAGGTATATCATTATCCATTTACGATGTTATTTTTTAAATTTCAGCAAAATCAAAATTTGGGATTTGAGGAAGACTCATCAAATTCACACTGATCAAGGTATTCCTGCTGAAATTATGGTAGCTAACAATATAGCAGTTTCGAAATATGTAAATGGTAAAAGTATATAAGCGATAAAAAATACTTAAATAAGACATTAAACCACCATTCTACCCTATATATTAAGAAAACGTATTCTTTAGGTTGTAGAAGGTTTTTTTATAGTTTTCTATTGTTTTAAAAAAAATATACATAAATTTTTATGGACTATTTAATTCCACTAAACGCTTTTTTATAAAGTATTATAACCTTATTATTTTTTTCATTTATTTGGTTTAAAAAAGTGCTGTATCTGATTAAATTATTTAAAAAATACAAACAAATGGTATACTTACAATATTTAAAATTAAGAAACTATTTTATTAAATCATAAAAATAAGACATATCACCAAAACCTAAATTTCAAGGTTACACGGATCTTAAATTGGATTGTACGAGAACCAACATATTCGCAAATTCGTACATGGGGCAAATTGTTCACACCTTCGATACAACTATATTACCTTGTACTGATCTCCCTAATAAAAGACATAGTCACAACTATTACAAAACTCCTATTTTTCAAATACGATCCAGCGAAAATAATTTCAACACCTTAAATTGTACCAATGATGGGAATCAAGAAAGTTCCATTTTTTAAATAAAATTGACCTTTAAGAGTTAAATTTTTGTCCCATATTATGGATCTTTTAAAGTTCACAAAAAAATTGTTCACATACTCGTATTTGCTTCTTTGTAATTAAAATGAATAAACAAATTTTCTCAGGGTAATATCAAATTTAACGTTAATTCTTTACTTTTGAAGTAATGCTATTTCCAAAAATTTGTTTAAAAAATATAATTATTTATTATTATAATATTACGTAATAATAAATAAAATGTGGGAGATATAATATTTTTTATTTTTGGATATTGAATAATGTAATCTAAATATATACAATCTAAACTGGTAAAAATATGATCCATGATTGAGTTTTTGTAATCCTATTAGTTAGATGGATAAAGAAATACTTAAAAAAGTATTTGAAAAACAAAATAGTACTCACATTTAATCCTGGGTATCTAAAGGAGACTAGATTACATTTTAGTATTCTTATTGTTGGGATCGATAATGACTTACATTTATACATTTTATGAGAAAAAATTATTATTTTAAAAAGTGTAAACCTATACCGACGATTATTATTTTATAAAAACTAATTTTTCTGAAAATTCGTTTACAAATTATATTATTAATGTATAACTAAATTTAATTTATAAAGGGGAAATGGAGACGCAAATTATATTTTTGAGTAATTATGGTTTTTGATTAGGGCTGTGCCTATCCACATATTTTTCCGATCCGATATTGGTTCAAACCCGATCCGATATTTATATTGATTTTTCGCCACCTACCTGTGAACCAAATGTAATCAAGAAATCAATATTTTTTATGCAAATTCGAATTATGCATTTAATTTAATTTTTTTATTTCTAAAATAATTTTAAAAAGTTTACGGATATTGGTAGTATTGAATAAAATTTTCATTATTCCTCCCCATGAAATTAGAATTCCACAGATAACGCATTTTACAAAATTATGTTTTTTGTAAAATATTTCCATAATTCAGATACCATATTTAAAAAAATTCTTTTATTTAATATATAAATAATAAAATTGGCGTTATTATTTAAAAAGATCTAAAATAAATAAAAAATGGGTGTTCCTTTCTATTTTTATAAAAAAACTTTTAAAATACTATAAATCTATTTTAAAAAAATAAAATTTAAGGGGTGTTGTGCATTTGCGTTGTTTTAAAAAAAAATATTTAGAATATTATTAAAAAAATAAATATACATAAAATAATTAAAAAAATAAAAGTAAAAAGATCGGATCGGATCGGGGTTTTTACAGGTATCAGCCTGATCCGATATTTTTAATAAAACGCTAAATATCGGTGCCGATCCGATTCCACATTTAATATCGGCACAGCCCTATTTTTGATATACCTCAGGAAAAATAAAATAATTAGTTAAAAAAATGATTTTTCTTATGTAACACTGCCTAATTTTTAAAACCAATTAAGTTGTACATTTTTTGAGCCACATTTTTACAATGTTTAAATTTCTTATAAATAGTATTGTTAAACAGCATTTAACGGATTTTAAATTAAGATTTTTGCCAAAATAATATTAATGCAGCCCTCGAGATCGATAATAGATATCCAAACCCTTCTGCTACCTATGAAAGGCTTGCGTAGTATTTTTGATGCGTCTAACAACACTACTTACAAAAAAAATCTTATATCTAAGATGAAAAAGGAATCCCGTTTTAGTGGCCTATACGAATTTTCAGAATAATGAGTTTTTATTAAAATGCATATGATCCATTAACATTGATTATTTCATAATAAATGTTAAAATTATTTGCCATTTTCAGATCAGATCATCCAAATTTAAAAATATTTGTTTATTTCTTACAATTTAACCGATTGTAAAAAAAATTTCATATAAGGTACTTATAGCGGTGAAGGTTTTTCGAGTAACATGGGTACTAATTATTGTTCTATGTTTTACGATCGAATCGATGTCAGCTCCAATGATTTACTCTTGTTATCCGGATCGGCGACAGGAAAATGTTATTTGTGGAAGGTTTAAAATATTTAAAGTTGATTTTTGTGAAAAATAGTAATTTTTTCTAGGACATTTTTTTTAAATTTGAAAATTTTGTTCTTACCTAAAAAAAGGTTATTTGATTTATCTGACTTTTTTGATTTAAATAAAGTTTTTTTAAAGGTCATATGATCAAACCTTTAAACCTATTAAAGAGACCTTCATATTTCTATTTAAATATAAATACATAAGTATTAAATTTTAAACATTTTACATATATAAGATATTTACAATTTGAAAAGATGGATTTTATTTAAAAAATACAAAAATAATTTTAATCGCTCAGCTACAAGCGTAGTTACGGATAGTGCATGGAACATATTGAAGACGAGGAATACTATTAGAATAAATTCTGATTTAGGAAATATTTTAACTTTCTCATATCATCCATTTAATCTACTATGATTTAGTTTAGAGGTAGAAGTATAAAGGAAAAATTTTTTAATATTTAGAAACCATTTTGCTACTACTTAAGAATGATGCTAGAAGGTTAAAAACACCATAACAGATAAGTATCCAAAAACCCAAAAAATTTATGACAAAAAAATTTACCAAGAAGTTATAAATATCAGCCTCAAGATCTTTTAAAGATGTTAATTTTAATCACAAAATCCTCTTATGCATTGCAAAAAAAATCATCGAACATATCAAATTGTGTCGAACAATGACTGGCACACTCTTTTAAACATTTAGCTAAATCATTATCCATAAATAAATTAGAAAAAAAAATGGTCTATCATATTAAATGATGTCTAGAATCTTGAATGGTGGAGATCTGTAAATATAATCTTTGCTGGTGATAATTGAAATTTAATCCTAACTCTTTGATATAGCTGCTTCTATAGAAGGAATGTTTTCCTTTTTAAGCCTATATTTTCAAATTAAGAAACAGTCTTACAATAGAAAAAGTTAGAAATTAGTTTTTTTATAAATTAATTTATGATAAAATTTTGTATATTTAATTTATAATTGCTGAAATTAACTTTAAAGAAGGAATATTATCTGTATGTCGTATTGAAATATGATGAGGATTTCAAATCTCTCAATTTTAAATCATTTACTGACGGCGATTAATGCATTTGAGCATGAATAGACGATCCTCCGATTTTCATACACTTTTGCCAATAACTTACATATTTATATAAATTTATAAATTAAAAAAAATACTCGTCATGGTGAAATTATCTGAAATTCATAGGGTAGATATTTTATAAAAAAATTTTAAATTAAAAAATTGTCCTAAGATTCCTAATCACTCACCATGGATTTCATATCCTAATATTAGTATGTAATAAATTGATAAAAAAGATTGTTTAATTTTTAATCATAGGAAAGTTCACTAAATAATTTTAGCTTATTAACAGTTTAAATAATATTACAAAGGTTTTTGTAGTAAAATGTCAAGTGATAAATTTTAATGATTGTTATGTTTAGTTGGAATAAAAAAAATTGATTTGGATCAAATTGATTTTTATTTCCACACCGTGCTTACTAGAACCTTTTTGCATTCCCCCTACTCAGCACCTATTTCCATGTTAAATGTTTTATTTTTTGATCTAGATTGACGAACAAAATAGCCATGCTACAGAAATTGTCAAAAATCATACTTCTGAAATTTCCTGCGTCGCTTGGAACGGTTTATCTCAGGTAATTTTAGAAAGAGATAAAAAGGTGGTTTGAAAAAAAAAATATATTTTTTAAAGAAAATATTGCAAAAAATAATTCCCTCCTAATTTAATTCATTTTATATTTATTTTCAGTTTGTGATGTGCGATGCTAATAGCGTACAGATGTGGAATTTAGTTAATGATATCAAAACATTAAATGGAAAAGAGATATTACCCATCGCCAATATTAATCTTGTTTCAAAATATCAAATCAAAGACAGAGATGGTATATTTAATTAAAAAATTTTTAATTCTTCTCAAACAAGAAAGATTATTATCATTTGATAAAGGTTAATAAGTTCAAGAAAAAAGTAAACAGAAATGCTAAAAAGAATAAAAAATTTAATGTTGAAGTATAAACGCAGCCAAAAGGTTGGACTTGACTGTTTTTGTAAATATCTTTAAGTTAATAAAATATATTCTCATACACTCCCCGACCCCTCTATTAAAAATTACAATGTGTCACTAGAAACAATAATTTAAAAGAAAAATAAGTATACATTTTTTTTCAAATAATTATAACATAAATTCAAAATTTTCAAAAAAAATATTTAAAATTTAAAAAAAATACAATTTTTATTGAAAAGATCTCTGCCAAATACAAGCAGAAACCAATTTATCTCTTCCATTTTCTTCGTCAATATTGCTACCCCATCATCAAACAAAAAATATCGATATTTTAGAAAATAATTTAACCTCAAATTTATCGAATACAACTTTCTATAGTGTTCAATTGGCAACTCCTACCCAATATTTACCAAATTATCACGATATGAAACAAAATTTTAGCCATCGGCGCAAAGGTCCCAATTTTAAAGAAGTTAAACAACCAATCAAATTGTCAAGCTCTGAATTCGAAAAAATAATTCCGAAGTCTCAGGATAAAAGCATAGTACCCCGGATCCAAAATAAAAGCACACTTAAGCGTTTAACTCGAAATAAGGGCAAAAAGACGAGTAGTAGTAAGAAAAGGAGTAAAATGGAAACCCATATTAAAATAGTGAAAAATAGTTCAAAAGGGATGGTTAAAACTACTCTACACGGCCATAATTCCTCTTCCACGCTGAAGGATATAAGCAATACATTGACATCTGACAATAAATTAATCGACATTGACCCTGGTGAAGTCGAGCAGATTAAAGGTGGTAGATCAAAATCGACAAATTCTGACAAAATACCTTGCGCTTCTCCTGGCAAAACTATTTACGATTATTTTAGACCAATTACCCCTTAAAGATTTTTTTTAAAAGAAATTTTCACTTTTAAATAATTTATAAACCTTTGTAATATAATTATTATATAAAATGTATTATATAATATACCATATTTATAGGATTTTTTTAATAATGTAAATAATAATAAAATCTATTTCAGTAAAATTTTGCTTAATGACTATTAATGAAACCTTTTTTTATATCCACCACGAGTCAAAATAGTTTACCCAAACAGAACTTTAAAATAATTTAAAAGAATTCATAGAATATCCTCCCCAAATCAAATTAATCCAGTTTTCATTAATAAAATCTGGAAATTTAACTTTCATTTGTCCAAAATTTGTTACAGCTTTAAAAACATTCACACATTGTAAATCTTATTCTAAATTTAACTTTTAGAATATCTTTGAAAGGTTTGAGCATGTTTTTTATATTTATCGACATAGAAAAACTATTTATTTATTTTCTTATGTTTTCTAAATAATCTATGAATTTGTTTTCAAGATCCTCAAATAATTTGTATTTCAGATAAATTAAATTGGACTAATATATATTATCCCCACTTTATAAAAGATATAATTGACCAAATATTAATTCTATTTTGAATGTTTTATATTATTTTATAATTCGAGAATTCAATAAATTACTCATCGAATAATTTAGCAACAGGTAAGAAATTGTTTGAGCTAGTTATTTTGGCACCTGATAGTAAATATAATCAGGCGCATAGTTATAAATTTGCTTCAGGGGGAATTTAAAATACATTTTTTTAATTTACTGTTAATTCATTAGAATTACAGTATATAAAGTAAAAATTGTTATTTCCCAAATTTAATTTGTTTATTTGGCTCGTTTTTTAAATTTGAAAATCTCATTTCACCCGAAATATGCTCCTTTTATAAATTTAAAACAATTTTATAATATAGTTTACATATTGCCTGATTACACACATTACCAATGATAATTGTAAAGCTTCCATTCTATAATGCTTTGAAGTTCGGTTAAATCTTTTATACTATTACTTCCATTTCACAAATATTGTTACTTCGGATACTTTAATATCTTAGAAATAAAATTATGTTTTAATTTTTCTGTATTTTAGGAACCCACTTACGCTTTTAACCCCCCCCCCCCTCACGATTTTTTTGAATTTGTCCTTTGATTTGTTATTAAATGTCTCAATTAATCTTCTTTTTTTTTAATTATAAATTTAGTTTAAATAAATGAGAATGGCAGTTTGAAGAATTAAAATCTTTCTTTGATTTAAATCAAAAATTTCTCTAAAAGGAAGATAAAGACTTGTAATTTACTCTTTTCCTAATCCCTTATCTACGCACGATTTCTGTTTGTCATGAATAAGTGAAAAGATTTCTAATAAATATAAATGGATCAAGAATCACTCACATAAATATCCTGAACAAAAAGTCCCCCACAAATATATTCTGAGCAGGATATATTTTTTTAATTTCTTTAATTATTTTATTTATCATTATTATAATTTAAATTTATAAAATGACATAAATTTCAATCAAAATAGTTGATATAATATGAATTCAATGTGAATTAAAATAAAGCTTAAAATAACTATTACATATAAGCTATAAATATTCAATTTTTTCGATTTCCTTGTAATAGAGCAACTAAGGCGTCCTGAAAATATCTGCTGACATCATGCTATAAAATATATGAAATATTGATATTAAATAATGAAACAAAATTAATAGTTACTAATTAACTTAAAACATATCTCACAAAATAAAACTCAAAATGAGACTTTACATTTAGGTTTAAATTTTTTCATAAATATATAATTAATACCTCTCAAATCCTAATTTATTTAAACAAAAATTGATTCAAAATGATATCAAATACAAAATCTAATTATATAAAGAGCATGCAATACCCTTAAATGAGTTTCTAGTGGGGTTTTGTATATTTTCTGATAGTCCTGCTTGATTTGAACCATATCAACTTCAGATCTGGTTACAAATATACGGATCAAGGCTTCTTCATTGGTTCCACCCAATATACCTTTCTGTATATTTTCAAAAGTGATCTAAAATATAATTGTTTTTTATTTTAAATCTTAACAAATTGGTTTGGGTTGATGTTACCTATCATCATATATTTTTACCCCAGAGTCAAACATTTATTTTACCCTAAATGGTTTAGACTTAAAATAATAACTAGAATAAATCTTAATTTATTGCCATAGTTTATTGTAAATTTATTTTGGTTTGCATATATTTTTATACTTTTGTTTTTGAATCAAAAAATATATTTCTGAACCATAAAACTTCTATTCTCCCTTGTTTTTTTATATATGAGAAACATATATTTATTTCTTTTACTTCACAATATGTAATTTTGCTTCCGTTTTTTACTAGGTTTCATAATCTAACTATTAATGTGTAGCCCTATAACTAGAATCGGCACGGTAATCATAATTAATTTTTTAATAAAGTTTTCAATGAAGGACCACAATATTAAGATGATCTCTTTAAATATAAGATCCCTGAATGAGAAACTAACTATACTAAGACAAATTATGAAAGACCAACATTACGATATCCTCTTTTTACAGGAGACCCACCTTAAAGTAACTGAGGTAAGGAACCTATTAGATTACACCTTATATTGCAGCTCAAATGCAGAACACGTATGGGCTGGGGTGGCGATTATGATACATAATAAACTAATAAGACTCGTAAGCTTCAACCCAATTTCTAGCCGAATATGCTGCCTCACCCTAAACTTAGGATACAAAAAAGTCCATTTGCTTAATATATACGCGCCTCACAATGATAGCGTTTTCTATATGGAATTGGAGAATGTCTTAAAGGAACTACCGCATCGGGATGACATCATTCTAGCAGGTGACTTCAATGCTTCGGTAGGTAAATCTAAGAACTCTTCCTGCCTTGGAAACGCCACATTAATACAAAGCACGAACCCCAACGGTAAAAGGTTAATAGAAATCTGCGAGTTTTTCAACTTGAAAATTGGTAATACTTTCTTCAATCATCCAACTCATCACATCATGACTTACAAGAGCCCTTCCTTTGGCACTACCTCACAGATAGATTTCTTTATAATTTCCACTAAGATTTTCAAATGGGTGAAAGACATCAGGGTAATCAATAAACTTAACCTTACACTTTTTACTGATCATTATCCACTGGGCTGTGAACTCAAAATTAACAACAATATCTTCCCAAACCACACTAGACAGAACAGTCTTACCACTGTAAAACATATAGCTAGAAAAGACTTGGCACAACTAAATGACTTAGAGGTGAAAGAAGAGTTCGTCTCTAAATTAACATCATGGAGAAACTCAGCAAATGGCATGATAAACCCAAACCTGACCTGGAAGGACATTAAGCAGAATGTATTAGGTAGTATAACATCATGCTTAAGACCACGCACCAAGCGCAGAGAGTGGCTCACCCCTTCAACAATACAAATAATTAAGAATCTTACAACAAATATATCCCACCATCAATTCGCAAGACATCACAGGAGGTACATTACCCACCGCATAAGAGCTGACAAAAGACTGTTCATTGCTAACTTATCAAATTCTATCCAATTCAATTTTGATAATAATAATATTTATAAGGCCTTCCAATCTCTGAAACTACTCACCACCTTTAAAACCAATCCTTTACCAAGACTACAATTAAACAACAAGATTATAACTGACCCTAAGGAACAATTAGACTTATGGATAGACCACTACATGAACCTCTACAAAACGAGATGGCCTAGACCTAGATGTGAATACCCCTTCCAATCACCCAATAAGAATTTGAACAAGTCTGATATAGTCGGTGCTATCAAACGTCTAAAAATGCATAAAGCTGCTGGAGCTGATGGAATTTTTGCAGAACTCTGGAAGATAGAGGTAAACCTAAGTGCCAGCTTACTACTTCCCCTCTTTAGGGAGATTTGGAATACGGGCAAGTTTCCTGACGAATGGATGACATCAATAAAAATAAGTCCCCAAACTGCCTTAAAGATTACAGAGGTATTGCACTAATTCCAGTCACACTAAAAATGTTCACATACATCATATCAGTCAGGATTAAACCAATCATTAACAGATTCCTTTCTAATGCTATCACATCATACAGGAATGGCAGAAATACTACGGAGTTGACCATGGCACTTAAGGTCATTCTGGAAAAGGCCAGAATGCATAAATCCCCCATCTTTGCCCTGATGATTGATTTAAGTCAAGCCTTTGACTCCATAATTCAGAATAAGATATGGCCCTTGCTGGAAAACATTAGAATAGATAAACATCTGATAGGGCTAATTAAGATAATTTACGACAATCATAGCGTAGTTCCTCAGCATTTAAATATGAAGTCGAAACCTTTTAAAGCAAATAGAGGCCTCAAACAAGGATGCATCCTTTCACCGATTATTTTTAATGTAATAATGAATGATATCCTAAATAAATCCTTTAAACAGGAATATGCACTCAACACATATTACAGTGAGCAACAACACCTCAATGATATGCACAACTCTTTAAACTTTCTATGTTATGCTGACGACGTATGTATTCTAGCCAACTCAGAATACAAATTAAGAAATATTTTATCATTATTTGTCAATAACTGTGATGGATATGGTCTAAGAGTAAACTACACAAAAACCAAACTAATCACCTCAAATACTGATGCGAGTCACTTAAACCCCTTTAACTTTGAGGGTAATACGATAGAATTAGTGTCAGATTTTAAATACCTAGGAACCAGGATAACGTCATTAGGCCTCACCTTTTTAGACACGAAATCGAGAACGAATAATGCTAGACTCCGCTATCATCAACTGTCGAAATTATGGTCATCCAACCAAATATCAACTAATTTAAAAATAAGACTCTTCAAGTCCCTAATTGTACCCATTTTTACCTACGGCCTGGAGACTTGGCAAGACTCAAAAAGTAACATCAGCACAATTCAGACTTTTATAAACAAATGCCTTAGAAGAATCACCAAAACGTATTACCCATACAACACATCAAATACAACGCTCTGGAATAGATGCGACATCCTACCAATCAATCGTCTCATACCCATGAGGAGACTAGAATTACTAGGCCATAGCTTAAGACACTCGCAGGAAAATATGATATTCTCGTCTTTAAAATGGTGCCCTGACGGTAGGAGGAAAACCCCTTAATACTATTGGTTGGCGAAATGTCTGAAAGATATGGACCTGATTAACCTCTCGTTTGCAGATTTCATGGCACTTAGCAAAAACAAGAAACATTTAAAGGAACATTTACAATACATGCTAAAATATGGCCTAAATTAATATCGCAACCGTTCTTCACCTTTACGTTCTTGCAATAAATGGAATAAGTGTATTTGATAATGATAATAACCTGAACAACAACAACATAACCTAACTTCCTCTAATAACGCACGACCCTCCTTTCTGGACACACGATATCGGCGACGATAACGATAACAATTACGAAAATATTATCTGTATAACAGGCAATGAGAAGATAAACTGGCTATAATAATAACGCAATAAATCGGACGAACCCAAATACCATTGACACAGAACATATAAGATCTACAGGACATACAATATTTTGGCACACCGAACAACAAACAAGGAAGAGACTCTACATGCAAACTTAACATAAACTCTCAATACTTAACAAGATATAAGGGTTATTTTTTTGTTGCCTCATTAAATACCACTTAAGGACGTAGGTACATTTTTTTTTTATATGACATTATTTTTTATTTCTTCCTTAACACTATTCTGCCAGAAACGGAACTAATACATCACCATTATTGTACTTCTTCCTTCTTCACTTTGCTAACAGGCTACATAGTGGTACCGTCCACTATAATAAAACGGGTAGACATCATGTATGGGATCTATATACTAGTGAAAATACATGATGCACGCTTCAACTCCTGGTGGGTGATGAAACGCTGGCGTGGTAATGAATGAATGAATGAAATGTTTAAAAAAACATCGAGGAAAAACAAGTGAAGTAAATGTATTTTAAAATGATTTTATTTGGTAATACCTTTTTTTCTTAAATATATTTGATTTTTTAAAATCCTTTTAATATAAAAAAACATTTATTAAAACCTGGTGTCTGAAAATTATGAATAATTATCATATTTTCTATAAAATTATTTATACTTTTAAAGCCTTGTGTAGTTTCCTAGCGAAAAATCCTGACGGGCTTTGGATACATTCAACTTAATGTTTTTTTATTAAAATTAAAATTTATAAGTTGAAATATAATATTTTCATAATTATTATTGTAATTAGTGTTCATAAATAAAATACAATCAGCTTAGCAACTTATTAACTCAAAATAATTTATATTATTTTTTATACCCATTTGTTAACATATCGTATTGGGAGAAGAGCAGAAACCTTCCCAACAATCAAAAAATTCTTTTTATATATTCTATATGAATATTTATTAAGACACCAAAGGTGATCTTTACTAAGAAATATCATTGACACTGTATAGAATAAAGTTAATTTTTAATATTTCCAAAATTTCAAGAAAAAATATAAATTTTCTACACATCAAGCAAGGGATTAGAGAATAAACAAAACTAAGTTTTATAATAATTTTTAAATAAAAGAACGAAAAATAAAATATATATATAATTTCAATCATATTTAAAATCAAATATAATTCTAAAAGATTTTTTCTGGCTTTATTATTTGTAAAATTTTTCATTTTTTCCATATTCAAATTGTTTACGATGTCATTCTTTTTCTATTGAAACAATCGCCAAATTATTTCCTATGTCATAGTCAATGATAAATATGTTTTTGTTAATTTAAGCAGGACAGTCACTAACACACTCTCAGGGGGCTCAAAATTTATTTAAAAAATTATTTTCAAGATGACTTTTTTAAGGTATTAAAAAAAATTTTGAAAATTTTTAGGGAGCTTAATTAAACCCCTGTGAGCCCTGCCCTCCCCCCAGTGACCCTATTGAATTTAAATCTTGAAAAGCTTCTTTCGGCACCAGGCAACTCAAAAGCATATTTTCTTCCAATTATAGCTAATGAATGTCAACGGTTCGGACCTATTAGACCGGGATAAGATTAAACCGATTGACGGACCAATTTTTTTGAGAACCGCGTTCCGGACCTATATTTTTATTTTTGTGGACTGCGGTCTTTTAATTTAAGTTTGCTATTCAATTAAATATAATTTTTTACTTAATTTTTTTGTATATTTTTTAATGTTATTTTTCTATAAGAGTTATGTTTGTTTTGTGAAGTTTTATTTTGAAATATTAAAACCATATTGTCAAAGAAGCATTTTACTTATAGTCCCAATAAACAAGAATTAAATTAGGTAAAACGAAATCCGGACCATGACCTTCACTAATTATAGCGCCCTAAAATAGCAAGATCTTTTGACGCCAGACCAAATAACAGTGATTTATCTTGGCCAGCGCCGATCAGGCAGTTTAGGATAAATTAAATAAAGCCTCAAGATTATATAATATATTTATATTTATAGTGGTAACTAAAAAAAAATATTTTTATTATAATAAATTTAAATATAGTAGTACCTAGAACCAGGAAAGCAGTTTTAATTTTTCCTGACATTTCCGATTCTATTGTTTTCTCCATGCTGACCTTTGTTAGAATTTCATACTCCTCAAAAGTTTTAGCCAGTTGCTCGTAATTACGAGTGGTTAATATATTGATGAAGACTTCCATGTTTGTACCACCGATTTTAGCTAAGCCAGCTTGGTTTAATGACTATTTTATTTATCATGAATTCGATTTCAAATTTTAAAACATATTAAAAAGATAATAAAAAAAAGGATAATTTAGTTAAAAACTGATTTAATTTATTCTATACAATTTTAAAGAAAGAGATCTTTAAGAGTTTAAATATTTAACTAAAAATGATATAATATCAAAATCAAAATCAATTATCTTTTTAAATTTTTTTTTATTGTTTTAATTTTACTCCAACAAATATCTTCTATTTTTTTGAAAGGGATATAATTCACTACTAAATTTATATTTTGTTATCCTTTGATTTTATAAAAAAACATTAGCTTGTTATAAATATATAATAAAACCTGGGCATCTTTCTTGGCCATTTCCAGATTAACTGTATTCGATTGATCACGTTTACCCTTTTATTTAGAATATTTTGGTAATCAAATATCAAATAAGGGTTATAATCTCTATATGTTTATAGAAACCTACACCTGACCCTTAACATAGTAAAATAGTATGATTTTAAAAATCAAGGCCAGAATTTTTTGAAAAATATAAATTTAACCAGCTGAAAATAACATTATAGATCATTTAACATTCACTCGCTCTTTGATTTCCCTTTGAGACCATTGGTAAATCACTCCATAATTATTTAAATTGACAAAATAAATCAAACCAGATGATAAAAAAAATTGAAATTTGAGCCGGGCCTAAAAATAAAATATCATGGCCAAAGAAAAATATCTTTTTAATCTAGACTAGGTTTGAAAATATGAAATCAAATCGGGCTTAAACAAATTTTTTGGTTCATGTTGCCGTTAAAATTATATGTATAAATTAATAAAAAAAGCTTATATTATAAATAAATTGTCAAATTTCACTAAATTATAATCGAATTAACAGAACTAGCATTAAACCACCATACATGGTCAGTCTATATTATTTTTCGGATAAAAATTGTCTAAAGAGAAGTTTGGATGATTTAGTTGTTATAAATAAATATATATTGAAAAAACTTGATAAATAATGTCAAGTAGTTATGACACCTGGTTCTGTTTCGTAATCTAAAAATCAATAGTACGGATCCCGATCATTTAAGTTTTTTAATATTATAACAATCAACTCGGCCGAAAACAAGCGATACATAAAAATAAAAATCATTAAACTATAAACTAACTTTAGCCCAGATTTTTTCGATGGAATTAGGCAAATCAAGTCAACAAAAAATCTAAAACGAATTTCATTGCAAAATTTAATTAAAGAACTCCACCTATAAACATTGTTTCATCGAAGATAATCGGCCTGCAAATAAATATGGTGCTGAGTGGAGTTCTAACCTTCATTGTATTGTAAGATAAAGCGTAATAATCACTGAGCCAATTCTAGCTTTAAAATATTGCTAGTCATTGGCATCAGAGGAGTAAAAGATTGCTCAGCAACTCTAAATTAAATTTTAGTAACCCCTAAGATATTCTAATTTTAGCACCCATAAATTCAAAAAATTATTAGTTTTTTTTTTAAATTGAGAACATAATATATTTTTAATACATAAATATTTATTTAATTCATTTAAAAAAATAAAATTGCCATAATTTTTTTTCGGCAATGTGTTATGAGGTAGACAAGAGGATTTTTTATTTCTGCATGCATACATTGCCGTAAATAATACATTGATGCTAGCATATACATTGCCGTAGGGATTTGGAATTCAGACTCCCGTTTTTATAGGAATCTGTTTAAAACCATGGAGATTTGAAATAATTATAAACGCTGCTATATTGCTCATTCGTATTGATTCAATCAAGCTAACAAAACTAAATTGGAGTCTTCAATCTTCGAATGAATAAATTGATGATTATTACAGCTTTATATATTTTATTTAAAAAAGATTCTTAAATTATTATCCTAGAAATAAATTTAGAAAAATTAATACATTTAAACCTTAAAATGTAAAACAATTTTAAAAAATTAGGGTACCGGATTTAAAATTTTGGCTAGTGTACCAGTGTTACAAGGTCTGAAGTAGTTTGAAATTGATAGCGCCAATATTCTTTACTGCACGAGAAAAAAAAGCAGGGCTTAGACCCGCAAATTTTTTTTAATAGGTTTGCTCTGGTCAAAGCCAGATTAAAATTGTAAATCCGATCCGGTTAAAAGTGGTTTTAAGGGTTCAAAAATTAAGAACAATTTAACATTTTCGCGGAGTTTCCCTTTAGTGAAGTAATTCTGACTTGCATTCCGCATATCCATAGTCCTAATTTCGATAATATCCGCTTCTTCCTTATTAATTTTCCCAAACACAGATATAGACTTATGGTTTAAGTTATTTTTAAAATGGATTTATAATTATCGATATTTTTTTCAAACCAGGTTATATTTTTAAATTGCGCTAATAGAATGATGGTCATTATTTATCAAGTTTAACTTTTTCAGTGTCCTATATGTTATTATCTATGCTGTATTTAGTGCTAGTTGTGAAAATTGTTCAAATTGATATTGAAATTTTTATATAAATTTAGACGTTGTAAATTGATGAATATAATTAATAAAAATATCTATATCTACTTCGATCAGTCTAACTAACAAATCTTGGACATCACGATTTACATCCCCTTTAATATCATCGGCCATATCCTTTTTATACACTGAATGTTTGCAACAAATTAAAGTTAGGAAGATACTGAAAATTTATTATTTCAATTATCGATATTATACTTACTATTTTAGCTAATAAAATTCCCAAACTGCAGAAAGATATTTTTAATATAGCTAGTCATAAGAATATAAAAATTATTAGATTTTTTTTTATTCTGGCAGACAAAATATATTTTAACTTAAAAATATTGGAAGAATAGATTATGCAGAACAAAACTATATAAATAATTTACATGCACTATAGGCTTGATTGGTAGCAGCCATCTGTCTAGGCGTTCTCGTTAACATAACTTCGATTAATAACTCAAAATCGGTACCAAATCCCTTGCAGATATTTAGAAAATATAAATTTTCATAATTTGTTTAGTCCGGTAATTTGTTATTTTTAAACTTCAATAATTTATTGAGCGTCTTTAATTTTGAAAATTCGGATTTTTCCAGAAATATATTCCAACATATAGAGAATAGAAATTTACCCTATAAATTTCTGACAATTTTTTTAAAAAGCTATTGAGAAAACTTTAATTTATATTGATTTCTTCCGTCGTTATTTATATAAATTAAAAATAACACAAAGGTTCATAGCAGAATCTTAAAATTCTTGGGGTAGTCATTCCTCACAGGAATACATTTCTGGCAAAATAAGATTTCTATTATTTATAAAGGAGCTCAATAAATGATTTAAAGTTGAAAATAACACACCACTAGAGAAAAAAAAAATTAAAGCTGACTTTATATCTATGGTCAAATAATTAATTCTATGTTGAATGGATAAATTTTTTGCTTTTTTCTTGAAGAACCTCTTGGATTTCAATACTCAGTATATGCAGTGTACCTATAATGGAAATAAATTTGCCCAAATTTTAGATTTTGTTCAAGCCCGTGGGTAGACCTGTCAAATTTTAAGAAATTATAAACTATTAATATTTTCTAACATCAATATCAAGTATCATAGAGAACTACAAATAGCTTTAAATTTTTCATAATATTAGCTTTCAAATAATATTTTAAACAAGTGCAAAACAAAAGTTTCGAAATTTTTTCATTTGAACCCTCCTAGGCTTAGTAACTGCTTATTAATTTAATATTATTAAAACTATTAAACCTACATTCCACACATATTTAGATTAACAGTGATATACCTTTAGACCTTCTACCCGTAAATTTATATTATAAAAATAAAATTTAAGAAATATTACCTCTATAATATTAAATATCTCAAAAAATTAGGATCACAAAAATTTTTGCTTGCCTTAAGATAAAATGAAAACGTTTAATTTCGGCCAATTTTTAAAAAAATTCAAGGTGTCTTTTCGAGATATATAGATTTCCCTTAATGTTTGACCCCAATTATTTTAAAGAAAATGTTAAAAAATTAAAATATCAAAGCTAATATTATGAGACATCTAATGCCATTTAGAGTTTTTGATGATCTTGGTTCACATTTGAAATATTGATAATAAAAAATGTAAAAACTTTATATTTTTTAAAATTTGAGGGGTATCTCTCGCCCACGGGCTTGATCGAAATCTATAATTATAGCATATTAATATTTATCAATGATATACTGCATATACCGAATTTCATTGAAATCCAAGGGGGATCTATATTATTTTGCAAATATTGACTTAGCATATAAGTTCCATAAAAATATTTAAAAAAAATTTTCATTCACTTTAAACCTTTATAGATTTTTTTATTAGAGAAGCATCAAATTCGGCGCTGGGAACCATTAAAGCATCCATTAAATCCCCATAATTTCCGCTTGTATCTGACGCTATATGCTTATGTAGGCTCTTATATAAATAAATAAAATAATGAGTAATCGAGGAAAAGGTAGAACTTCTACAATTAAATTTTCCAAAACAATGACAATCTCTACTGTAAAATTTATTTGCTTTAAATTTAAAATATTTATGGTTACTGACAAATATTTTAGAGACTTTTAAGAGACAAAATTGTTCTCTTAAAATTTCTGAATTTGAAATGTATATTATATTATTACATTATATTTCTAGTTTATTTACGTTCATATTATTTTACTATATTTACATTTATTTTCCATAAAATATTGGAATTTTGAAAATTTATTAAGGGAGACCAGGGTAGGTTGTGACACTTTTCGTCCAAACCTGATTGAATTCAATAATATTAGATATCTTCTCAATCCTCAGAGTATAGGCTATTTGAAATAGTTAATATATATTTTATAAAAACTATTCCTTTTTAGAAAATTTAATTTGAAAAAAAAAAATTTTGGCCCAAAGTTGCCTTACTCTGGGTACGTTCCACCAATATGTGATAGTAGGTTCACCAAAGAAATGAGGGTATAAATATAAAACAAAATTTTTTTGTTTTTTTATACTAGAGGCTTTGTATATTAATTTAGTGATAATACCAAATACTAAGTAATTAAGGGGTATAAATGAGTAAATACTGCATTGCGAAAGTGCATTGCTAAAAAGCAATTAATTATAATCAATCAAGATATGGTTATATAATCTCTTATATAAAAATAATTTTCAGAAACACTTTTTTTAATATATATAAATCAAATTTAAAAAATTGAGAATAAATATAAAATAATATAATTCTATTTTTACTTAATATTTGGAAAAAATAAATATTTATAGCTTAACAACTCAAATTTTATTTTTAGATTTTTAAATGTAACAAATATATATCCATAAGAGGACGTTAAATGCATTAGGAAACCAGAATGATTATTGGTTAGCGCTTTTTTTTATATTTGGTGTAAATAATGTGGAAAACCTATAAATTAAAAAAAATGATAGGTTTCTTTGATATTTAATTTATGATGAGAATCGTAAAATAATAGAAAACTTGTAAGGCACATATTTCTGGGGTTATTAATCAAAATCTCTTCATTTTTAGTTTACACGCATATATTTACGTGTTAAGCATTATTCTAAAAATTATCTTAAAAATATTGTGATTTGACCAATTGCAACTCAAAACCGACCATTTACTAAATATTCGATTGATCAAATTTGCTAGTAATATCAAATGAAAAATGTTCATATTTGTTTTGAACATCTATAAACATGTGTAAAACCTTATCCCAAAAAATATTTTAAAAATATCGCGATTTGACCGATAACCGATTTGAAACAAACCAAATGACTAAATACTGCATTGCTGGCGTTATCCATGGAAAATTCTTTATTTTTGGTTAGCAATGCAATATTTAGTCATACTGAATAATTAAGTAAATTAAATTTAGGAAAAGATCTTAGGAATTTTGTAAAAAATAATTAAATGTTCATTTAAAATTACCTGCATTTGTTTTATTCAAATTAAAAAATAAATATGCAATAATTGATAGGACCAACGTACCTATGACCAACTATGACCCAGACAACTAACTTTACAATATTCAAAATCATATTAACCCATATTTTATAATTCTGAAAAATTTTAAGATTATTTATTAAGATTTTAAAACCTTATTTATAAATCTAAATGATAAGGCTTACAATTATTTTTTGTTACTTTAGGTATGCTAAAAGTGGTTTTCTTTGTATAAATTAATATTTTGCTCAATTTTCCAGACTTATAAAATAATAATTTAAATTATAATTGCAATGAACAGACCTTCCCCTAGACGCAAACTTCCCCGGTGGGAATATGGAATTTATCTGGGTTAGAAATATCTCGTATTTAAATTATTCTCTGAGAGCGATTTTTAAATTTCCAAAATTTTTAACCAGATATTTATTTCAGCATGTGTAGAACCAACCCAATAAAATTCAGACAATTTTCACCGCAAACCTTTATGTATTTTTTTTAATTTATATGAAAAAACCATATAAGAATCTATATAATCAATTAAGGGCAATTCTAAAGTTCATGGCAGAATTATTTGAAATTCACAGTGTGGGTACACATTGCTGGAATAAATTTCAGGTAATCGAATATTAAAAATTAAATATAATATTTAAAATCGAAAGATTCCGAATCCCCCATGATCAATTTACAATATAAAGATTTATTAATTATAGAGATTTTGCTCATAGACAGGGTTGCCATGTCTCCCCCCATCAGTGGGAATCTCCCACAATTTTTTAGTTTACCCACATACATCTCACTCCCACAAAACTCTCACAATTAAAAATCTCCCACAATTTTTTAATTTCTCCCACAATTTTTTTTTTAGTATTTTAATGTTTTTAATATATAAATAATAATTTTGAGAGACAGTATTTAATTATTTTTATATTTTTAAAATAAATTTTAAATATTTATTCGAAAAATATGTCTAGTTCTTTTATTTTATTTTTCCGCTCTAAAATATATTTTTTTTTAAATTCTCCAATTCTCCACTCGACATTTTCAAGATTTTTGTGTTAGAAAGAATAGAAGTTAGAACAGTATGTATAATTATTATAAATATATTTTAAATTACTTAATATATTTTATATCGTTATATTGCAGTGCTCCACTAGTTTCACATGTAGGAAATCTACTTCATGTAGTTAATATTCAGTTGCAATCAGAAGATTCTTTATTGATAAAGATTCACAAAATCATGCTACAGCTCTGTTCATCTCTACAGTTAAAAATAGATAATAAATTTTATGGCGCTATTGCTAAAAATATCATATTAAAATGTTCAAATATTACTATAATTAACGTATTTTTAAATGAAGCAAATATTTTTATTGACAATTTTGGAATATTTACAATCAAGATTTGATTTTAATAACTCTATTTACAAGTGTATAAATATTATGACCTTGGAACAGAAACCATCATTTGATGGTTTTTGTAATTTAATAAATATATTAAAATTACCGATAGACATTGAAGCCTTGTTTGAAGAGATTGTAATTTTTTCCATTTTTTATGATTCGCCAGAATACTTAAAGTTAGATGGTCTAAAAGCAGAGGAGAAATGGGTGGAATTTTTTCGTAATAACGATAAATCCCCATGCTTGGAAAAAATTTGCGAGTATGTTTTCTCCTTATCTCATTCTAATGCCTCATCGGAGCGCATTTTTAGCCTGATGAGGACTGCCTGGAGAAAGGAGAGAAATCGAATTGCTTTAACAACATCAGAGGCCGAGTTAATGGTTAAACATAATTATAAAATGTCATGCCAGGTAATTTATAAATATCTTAATAACGATGGTAAACGTTTAGTTCCATTATTTAAATCTCAAATAAAATATAATTAACTATAACTATTTGACTTTCTATATTTTATAAAATCTTATTTATACATTTGCATAAAATCAAATAAATTTATTTTTTACATTGTAGAATTAATATTTTGAATATTTTGGCAAATCATAAAAATAAAGAAGCATTACAATCTCCTCAAACATGACATCATATTAAATCTTATTAATAATTATCCGATAATAGTAATAATATTCTTACTTTGGTATTTCTGCAGCATAATTTAGTGAACCTTTATTAAATTATATTCTTCTGATTGCAACTGCATATTAACAGCATATAGTAGATTTCCTATATGTAAAATTCCTAAATATACTTCTGCCATTTATTTTGAAAATTTTTTTCAAAATATTAGGACAGCTTTTATAATCTATTTATTTTTTAAAGGTTTGTAAAATTTTAAAATTCTACGATGGCGCGTATTAGGAGGAACCTGTCAACCAACATTATGCTGACTCAATTCTACTCTGGTTTTTGCCAAATTCACTAAGGAATTATCAGATCAGAAAGCTGCCATGCAATTCATTGGTAATGCCAAATCTGCCATATTTACCATTATATATGGTTAGCTATGTCTTTGGATATTTCATATCTGGAGAAAATTTTTTTAATAGTTTTATTGAAATGACATTAATTTTGTTGAAATAGGGGAGGATCAAGGGAAATGTTTTGATATCTCCTTATTAGATGCATCTTTTAGAATTGCATATGTTTGCACATCTTTCAAATCATCAAGAATTGACCTTCTGGATATATCCTAAAACATTGATAGCCTTGCTCATTTGTGTTCTACAAAGTATACTTTTCATTTATATTAGTCGTTAAATAATATGGGGAAAGATTCTACCAACATTGTGATGTTAAGTAGCTCTCTCAGCGTCTACATGAGCGGGGGGGGGGAACAGTTTGCATCCTAATATCTATAAAGGGGTAGGGGGTAGGGGTTAGGTGGTAGGGGGTAGGCATTTTGGGGGGTAGGCTATAATAATCTAGAAAATTTTCCATTACATTTTTAAATTATCTATGGATAACATTTTGGTATATTAGGGGTAGATATATATTTTTTAGGGGGGTTTGCATCCAGTGAATATACTGTCATGTAGACGCTGAGCTCTCTGAATGTTGTACTGCATGATAGGTATTTACCATTTCCGCAACTGTAGTTTCATCTGTATTATTTCTTATTTTTGAAGAATATTTTTGTTTTGCAATAGATGTTGATAGACTGCCCTGTACTGATTTATGCTTTGAAGATTTTTGATGCCTCAAAATATCATATTCCCTTCCCCCATTGTATTAACTAAATACTGTAGAACAACTTCCCCACACTGATTATAATTATTTTTTACATGATAAATTTAAAATTTTTTTTTTTTTATAAAATCTTATTTATACATTAGCATAAAATATATTTTTTCACATTGTAAAATTACAATTTTTTTATAAAATTTTATCTTGTTTACATTCTTTTGTATTTAAAAAAGATCGTTGGTTATTATTTTTAAACAAAATTAATATATAATAATAAATCAATATGTTATTTTAATAATAAAGATAGTATTTAAGAAATTTTGTGTCGTACTATAATTACCTATTTTGAAAAATAGTTGCGTATTTTATTTTGGAAAATAGTTACTTATTTTATTTTGAAAAAGAGTTCGATATTTTATTTTGAAAAATAGTTGGCTATTTTATTTTGAAAAATAGTTGTCTATTTTATTTTGAAAAATAGTTGGCTATTTTATTTTAAAAAATAATTACCTATTTTATTTTGGAAACAAAAAATTTTTTTTTAGCAATTTTCATATTTCTCCCACATGTTTTATATTTCTCCCACAAAATACCGAATTTCTCTCACAATTTGAAAATTTTTCACCTGGCAACCCTGCTCATAGATGGCAGAAAGGTTTGGACCTCCATTTGCCAAATCTCGAGGCTTACATAATAATATTTTGACTAAAATATCAATCAGACCGTTTTTAAAAATCGACCCAAATCGGGCGTTTATCGACACTGATTTTGTTTTAAAAAAATGATTAGAAAAGTGATTAATTATTTAACAAAACAATAAAAAGTAAAATTCCCTTTTTATCTATAAAATTCCTTTTTTGTTTACTATCTATAAAATTGATATTTTAGTTAAGAAAACATTCTTTTACAGTTAAGATTTTTTTAGATTTTCTTTTTAAATGCCATATGTTTTTAATCCTTTATATATAAATAGCTAATTTTTCTCACTCTTCCAAATAGGCGATTATATTCAGAAGCTATTAATTGTCTTTCATAATTTGTTCTGCCACATATAACTCCTATCACTACTTTATCCTTGGTTCCTAATTAATTTTTTTATAAATAAATTTTTGTTAGGTAAGCAATTTTTACTATTAAATATTTTAATTTAAAACATTATAAATATTTAAAATTATATCATATATTTTTTACATGCAAACACCTTATTTATATACACAAAAATATTTATCGAAAAACACGAGTAAACTCTTTTTCTTTTCTTCTTTCTTTTAATATTAATTAATTAAATAGGAAAATCATTAAAATAGATAGCGCAAATAACAACAGGTCCATTTCTCCACATCATATAATATCTTTTAAAACCAAAATATAAATGTATCAATGTAATTTGCGTAAAATATCTAAATCAACAAACAAATGATTCCATTTGATAGGAATATATTTTAAATGATAGTAGATAAATGTAAATTTAACATATATGGACAATATCTATCTTTTTAATGCCTTAGAATGATTCATTTATAAGGAGAGTTGATATTAAAATTTAAAAAATAATAATCCTTGTCTCACCGAAGAATGTTTAGCCAACAACAAATAAATTAAAAAGCAATGTAAATACTATATGTACTAGAATATTTTATATCCATCTTCTCTCGCTTCATTTATACTTCTTAGTGAATAAAATAGAGCTGCTCTTAAGATGGTCACCCTATGAGTTTTTATGGGTATATAGTTATACAATATATTTATATTCTTCTTAAAAATAGAAAACTAACAAGAACAACGCGTAGCTAGACCCGCGCTTTGGCCGGTGAATGTAAAAAATTTTAGTTCATCATCAAAGTTATCATTGCTATTTTAAAAAGAAAGGTTGACATATGAGCCCGCAACATCTTTGATGAGGCCTTTCTAATCTACACATCTACCTTTAATTAATAATTTATTTAATCTTAAACAACGGTAAAAACAAATTAAGTTCAATAAAAAATGAAATAAAAATTTTAAAAGATGGTCTAAAATTACCAACTAAGTTCATTCTTTCCTGTCTTTATTTTTCTATTCGCATTTTGAGATGCTATCTTATTTATAATTAATAGATTTTAAAATATCAAACATCTGTTTTTGTTTTACTAATAATTCTTCTCATTTTTTTTATCTCAAAATTTGTGGATCAATTAAGGCCTTTAAGCAAAGTTTACTTATAATTCTATTCTTTCGTTGAAATCATATTTGATTTAAAAGGTCATATAAACATTTTAAGATTTTTAAAATTTAAATAGTTTAATTAATATAATAATGACAAGATTTTAGGAAATAATTATAATAAAATAATTTTTTACAAGGAAGTTGTTCTCAAGATCATAAGAAAAATTGGTGTAATAGTATACAATTCTCAACTAAGTGGCAAAGAATAGTTCGATTTTAATTGTATATTAAAAATTATTAAAGAAAAAATACTAAAATAAGTAGTGAGATCGCTAGGGATGAGCATAAGAGTGCTCAACATTTCAGCCCCCTTCATAATTTTTTGGGCTGTAACTTAATCATTAAACAAAATTTTTGGAAAGAGCAAACCAGAATTTTACAATCTAATCGAATAGATTTAAAATTAAAACCGTTTTAATATCCTGATCAAGTTAATACCATAATAAAAAAAATGCGTTAATATATAAATTGTTATTTCATTCACAAATACAATTTGAACCACTAAGCCTAAGAAAGTATACTAAGCTTAAGTGGTAGGGAAAAGAAGGGGAGGGGGTCAAATGAATGGGGTTAAAATCCTTTCCCCACAAAAAATAAGGAAAACACCAAATATCTGGCAAGAAATTAATTGCCAGCGATAATTAAATAAAAATTAACTTTATTATAATATAATACCTCGTATAATTATTATAAGCTTTGCTATTATAATTAAATTAGTTTTCTTGGAAGTTAACTATAATAAGGTTATAACTGAGTTAAATCATCGTGAAAATAATTTTTTTTTAATTTACCAAATCCGGCTAAGGCAGTGTTCAATGTTTGAGCATCAGTTATAGCGTTGAAATTCGAGCTTTTGACAATCGTTCCAGATGCCTAATAAATTATATAGATATAAGGTATAGACAGAGGCGTCGTTAACTAGGTGTTATGGGTTCTGCAGCACTCCCTTTTGTAAAATTAACAACAATTTTGAAAAATAGAGTATCTCTAAAATTAACATTCACTTTTTAAAAATTAGCACCCATTTAGAAAGATGCATTATTTAATTATTATAGCTAATTTTTTATAAATATATAATTATTAATCTATAGCCTTCCCTATGTTTCCTATCGCCAGAATAGTAAAACATAATAAAAAATGAAATGGTAAAATATATAAGATATTATCATATAAAATGAATTAATTTCTATCATTTTAAATAATATTATTGACAAGTGATGATAGATTAAAATGATTCTGACTATTATTCCACAATATTGAAATATTATAGATTTAACATGTAATTTTTTAATTGGATAATTTTTGACATTCTATCATTATTCTTATTCGAATAATTTTATTTTAATATTTATGAATATTATTCGAGCAGTAAAATATATTCGAATTAATAAATAATATTTTTAGAAGCTAATATTTTTATATAAAATTATGTATAGTTTATATTTATTTGTTATTTATAAAATTTTTGTTATATATTAATGATAAAATAACCTAAATTATTTATTGCCTTACTTTTAATTTTATTTAAAGTGATTGATAATTATCTAAATTACAAAAGCTTAATCAATAATGTTGTTTAATTTTATTATTTGGTGACAGAATAAATTTAGCTTTGATTTTCATATTACATAGTTTTTTAAATGGTCTATAACTTCCATACCTTTTTATATCTTGGTCTTACAACTACAACATATTTTGGTACAGTAATATCACAATTTATTAATATAATATCTTCTTTTTAAAAATTTCATTCTTGGTAGTGTTGAATTTGCCCAATACGACTCGATCATCCATTGGATTTCTTGGCGCGTTTTATTTCTTAAATTGATATTTATCATATATTGCCATATACAGGTGAATATGGATAAACAGGTATAGTTCCATGCACGAGGTAATCCTTTCCCTTGGAATAAGAGTCAATTTATATAGCCTTTTGTCAAATTGTTTAAACCAAAAAATTCCAAAACAATTTATATGTATTATATAGTAGTACCCTAGAGGGGCCCATCCTAAATGAACTAAGGCCAGGCCAACAAATTCAGTGCAGGATTCTAATGTATAGGAGGCTAGATATTATTAGTATTTTAACCCTTGAGTGGTATACTGAAGGTATCATTTAGCCAAATAACAGGACTCTCAATAAATCTAATAAATACGAATTTTATTCACCTCTAGAATCAAACTACCCCCTTGAAAATTTTATTGCAATGGATAAAATTAGCTTTAAGAACCTATGTTAACCCATTGGAGGTGAAAGTGCAATATTTTATTTCAAAGTGAAATTTCTTACCAAATTCAATAGAATGATAGATTTTTTAAAACATTTAACTGCTCATCAAACATTTTATTTAAATTTATTTTATTCATTCCTAAAATTGTACATGGCTACGGGTCATTGCCATTTTTTATGTCCTCGGAAATATTATTAGACCTCGAGGTTCATTTAAGAAACTCTTGAAACTATTTTAAATATCAAATTCTAATCACTCTCATACAAGCTGCCCTTTCATCAAAGCTTGGTGCTATAGATCTCATTCCTCCTTAAGCGTTTCAGCTTTTTATCCTCAGTTGTAAAATTTTGATACAAACTTGAAGACTTGAATACTATCTATTCACATTATACTGCAGCTTTAGACTAGGAATAAAGCTCCAATCAACTTTCAAGGCATAGAGATTCGAATTTACCATTGATACAGAATACTGTCAAAAACTCACACTCTAAAGCTCACACTCGAAAGCTCTTCAAAAAAACCTTTCTTCATCTAAACTAAACCCGAGGATATAGAATGCCAACAATACGACTATTTTGCCAGACCAAATATCTCCGCCTCGGCCATATGCTCTCTAGGTTACGAATGGTTAGAAACAATACCTAGTTCTAATTTAGGCTTGTTACTTACCAACGAAGAACTTAATTGCTAACGGTCTTCGATTAGGCTATGAAATCGTAATACCGACATCATGTTTTCTCTGTGACATCCATATCGATAGTTTGGGCCACCACCCTCTAAACTGTCGTTTTTCAAAAGGCAGATTACATTCACTAATCAATTCAACATCAATAGAACCTTGGAATCCACAAATATTTATTCCATGTTTTACAACCCCCTCTGGCCTAAGCTCTGTCATTCAAACCAGACCCGATGGAATGACTCTAGTTCTCTAGAACCAGTGACCCCTACAACGGGGGGGGGGGGTCCGAAGCAACTGCTTCTATAAATTTCTATGGGGGTACTTTTTTTTTTAAAATTTTTATAATTTTTTATTTTAAAATTTTTTAAAAAAAATTTTTTTATTTTATTTTTTTTAAAATTTTTATGGTCGATGTTTAGCAAATTAGTTTGTTATCCGATATTTCTTATCATAAAATTATTTTCCCACTTTCAAGATTTGGCGCAAAATTAAAATTTTATCAAAGGGAATAGTAAAAATTTAAATATTAAATCTTATATATAATCATTTATAATTTTTAGATCATTGTCAAAATATGCCCAAAAATATTAACCAAAAAAAATATAAATGCTTATCTCGCAATCAAGCCTTCTGGAGGAACAGGCAACAAGATGGCAATATGATGAGCCTTATTAAACTTATTGCAGATTCTGAGCCTGTTCTTAAAATGTATATACAAGATAATGAAGAAAGAAGAAGTGAGAAAAAAATTAAGGGATTAAAATCTAAATTATATTCAAATCTGTTATCATATAATAACATAAATATTCTTATTGAAACCATGAAAAATATGGTTATAAAAAAATTCAAAAGGAGATTGAATTCAACAGGTGCTATTCAATTATAGTTGATGGCACATATGATGTATCTAAATCAGAAGCAATAGCTTTGATAGTGAGATATGTTGAAAATAGCGAGACACCTAAGCCCGTTGAAAGGCTGATAGACATTTATTGTACAATACAACGGGCCTCGATATTAAAAAGAATATAATATCCAAGCTTGGCTCCATGAATCTACCCCTCGAATTCCTAGTGGGGCAAAGCTATGATGGCGCCTCAAACATGAGTGGAAGAATTAATGGAGTGCAGGCTTCGATTAGAGCGGAGGCGCCAAAGGCAGCTTTAATTTGGTGCTATTGTCATCGATTAAATTTAATAGTTGTTCAATTATGCCAATCAGTAAAAGAGCTGCGAAATGTCTTGGGAATATTAGACGAAATTTACGTATATTTTAATGGTGTTAAAAGATATGAAGTACTCAAAACATGTCAGAGTGATTTACTGACAAAATCACATAGATTTTTACGCATCAAGAATACCACTCGGCAATATTATCTTAATTGTTTCGATATATAATGTTTATTTTATATTTATAGAAGCTGGCTAACATCATATAAGGCGATTGTAATTTTTTTCCTACTTTATGATGCTTTGAGGGCAGCTTTGGCAAATTTAAAGGATTCTGAAGATCCTGCCACTTCCACTATGGCTAGTGCTATAGTTTATAGAATAGAAACATTTGATTTTATTTTATCACTATGTGTTTTGGATAAAATATTGTTGATAACAAGCTTGGCTTGTACAAAATTGCAAACCATTTCGAAGGATATAGGGTTTGCAATAAATCAAATTCAATTGGTAAAAGATTGCCTGATTAATATGAGAAGTATAATTTAAATTATTATCTTTTATTATTTTATAATCCTAAAATAGATAATAACACTGAATTTTTGGATGTCTTTTCAAAGGCCCAAGATTTTATGAAGAAGAGAAATTTACCTTTTGATTTTGAAAGTTCAAGACTTCAAACATTACAATCCAAAAAGGAGATATATATATATACTTTCATCATTAAATATAATATTTTATTTTAGCTTTAAAATCAGTGTGTTTTATGCTGCACTTGATTTAATTATTATGCAGTATAGTGAAAGATTTAACGATGAATCGATAAAATTTTTGAGTCAAACATCATTTTTTACCCCAAAGGGAATGGCGGAAAAGGCAATTGTTAAAGATGATATCAAGGATATCTGTGAATTTTATCAATTAAATACAAGTCAAGTTTTTGAGGAAATGTTGATGTTTAGAAATATTCATAAAATGGCTAAAACAGGGGACATAATTATTACTCGTGACCTAGAGGTTAAAGAAGATTTGTCAGATTCTGAGAATTGTAAATTTATTTAATTAAAATATTTTTACTAATACATTATTTAGCTTCTTCTGATGATGATAATAATTCTGAGATGAATGATTGAGACTGGAAAAACTATTCATTTATTTTACCTTATCATCTGCTTATAAATTTTTCTGCTTTCCCTAACAATTTTATATAAATATTTATTAACTATTCCTACTACATCATGTACTGCCGAAAGGGTCATGAGTAAAATTAAACTAATTAAAACAAGACTTCGTAGTGTCATGAAAGATCCATTTCTTAATAATTTAATCATTTTATCAATGGAAAATAATTTATTTAAACAATTAAATATTGATAAAATTATAAATTCTTTTGCTTTCTCTTCCCCTAATTTATCTAAATTATTAATTTAAAAATAATATTTTTAAAGCATATATTTTTTACATTATATTTATATTATAATAAATATTGATGCAATAAAAATTACTTTTGAAATTTATTGGTGTCAAAAAATAATTTACAATGGGGGGGGGGGGTACTTTAGGGGGGTATTCTGCTTCTATCCCTCAAAAGTGTAGGGGTCACTGTCTAGAACCAATTTATACCCCACGCTTGGGAATATAAAGATCGTTCTGTCAAATCTTTTTCTGTCAACTCTATCATGAGAGCAGAAAACACAAAGGTCAATAAATATAGCCACCTAAATAATCTCTTATTTGTTCCATTAGTTCCAGACACTTGTGAATCATTTACCAAATCCTAAAACTATTCAAAACGAGGCTACGTTTAATTACAGGTAATCTAATAGAAAGTTTCTACCTGCAACAAAGAATATCGATCAAAATTTGCAGATCGGATAACGAGTAACGGTAACGCGTTTCTTTTTTTGAGTAACGGTAACGCAAAACGTTACTCCAAATTTTCCTTAAATAATATTGAAAAACATATTTTATTGTATTTTATTTTGTTTATTTTAAAATTTTAAAAATAATTTAAACCGAGTTTCTAATTCACATCAACCATCAAATTCCTTCATTTTTATTTTAAATTTTCGTTGTTAAATTCTACATCAAGATTGTTAATATTAATATTGAATCAATCAATGTATGTAAATTTATATTCTTATTAATATTGAAATTTATTTTATAAAGAATATATTGTCAATTGTACATTTTCTTCAGATGTAGATCAGTAAAATCTGCTTTGGCTCAAATATGAACATTTTTTACACCAATAAATAAAATAAGTGTACAAAGTTGTGTCCCAAAAATATTTTAACCTTTATTACGAAAAACTTAGGACCCTCCAAACTGTGCAGCCATTTTTAAGGAAAAAATGGAATATCTGTAAGATGGAACTCTTTCTATAATTCAGTGATATTAATAATCTTATTGAGGAGAATGGCCACAAATTTGACGAATCTTGTGCTAAATCCAAATTACAGAGATTTTCAGATAATGACAAGTCATTCATAGATAAATATTGTATTACTATATAAATAATTTTATAAGTTATGTAACCTGTTCCTCCGGCTTTTTCTATTTTAGAGAGAGAAGAAAAATGCATTTAAGAAATCTCACTCCATCCAACGATAACTATTGTAATATTTAAAAAATGGCTTTAAATTGTATTATTTTTATTAAATGGAATACCGATTTTTTTTAAAAAAAAATTTAATATTTCCTAATGTAGTTTGTATAAAAAAATAAGTAATATTAAATTATTTGTTTTGATCTTTTAAGGATAATAGTCTTAAATTATTATATGAAAATTTAAGGACGATATCATGTAAAATTGAGTGATATTAAATTAAAATTATTTCTTTTATTTTTTAATAATAGTCCTGATTTTTAGTATGAAAATTTAAAAACAATATCATGTAAAATTAAGGAATATATAAATTAAAAATATTAGGTAAATAAAATATGAAAATTTTGGCTTTTTGCGAAATTAAGTTTTTTATTGCCTTCAAAATTTCGTCTTGAACTGTGAGGGGGAAGTGGCAAAAATGTTGGAATTGTTTGGGTTAGGATTTAATAATCATTTGGATATACCCATACCTTAGAAAATTTTTCATTATAATTTTTATAAATTTTCTTCCCAACTATAATTATTTTGAAAAATTACCATTAATTCAAAAAAATATTAAGTTATACTTTTTGAAAGAGAGATGGGGTTGGGAGAAGGGTGTTAAATTAAACTTATTGCAATATTATTTAAACATATTAAATATTAACCTTATATCCTTTGCTGAGTGAAAATATTGACACTAATATCAAGGAGAATATGTTGGGATTATTGAACATATTTTGATTTATAACTTTAAAATAATTTCTTACAGTAAATATTTAATTTGAAAAATATTATTATAAAATGAAATTTGTAATAATATAAATAATTTGTTATTTATAGAGGAGAACTAATTTTTTTTGGATAAGATTAACATTTGTAATGGTGTTTTGTTTTTTATGTTAAAAAATAATGTATAAAATTTTTATAAGGATTTTTAAAAATCTAAATGATAATATTATAATTTTCTAATTTAAAATGATGAATAAAAAAATGATGAAAGAAAAAATGAAATCAAACAAAATCATATCACATACATGACAATAACAAAACTGCAGGCAAAGTAAAAACACGAGAATTCTATGGATGAGTCAGAAACAATTGCCAAAATTTAATATTTTTTAAAAATTTCTTGTGTATAACAGGGGTATGTCTATGTAATTCCTATAAAAAATAATATATTTCAATAAAGATATAATATTTTTAAAAATAGAAAAATAAATATAAAACTTATACTTACATCACAGAAATTTACAAATGTGTTAAATTCTTTTATATTTTTGGATAAAATATTCAAGTTCTAAATTGTAAAAAGTTATCAACTATAAATTTTTTTAAATTATTGATAGTTTGGATAATCAATCTTGTTGACTTATCCTGTTTCAATATGTTTATATCCTTTTTGAAGATGAAAATCCTTACTCTGCACATGCGAATGTTGGAGCCAAAGTTAGGATAAAAGTTTTGATTTATTTTCCCAAATTTTATAAAAGTTGATTTTGGTTTGCTCTTTCGATAATCAAGTTCTTCATAACAAAGTTTACTAAAATTTTTAAAGGAGTGGAAATTTTTTTAAAACATTTTAAATGTGAAACGCGAGGGAAAAAACGATTTTTTTTCGCATTTATTCGTTATTTTAATTTTATATTTCTTTCTTTTTTAATTTATAAATAATTGGGCATTTGTTTTCATTCGCTTTAAGTCTTTTAGCAACATTATGAATAATTAAGAATTTTGTTCAATTCGCAATTAACCGCTATGATTTAACATTATACGTATATAAAAGAGTATTTAAAACCTTCTCATTTATCTAATAATTCTCACTCAACTTATTTGCATTTATACGATAATATATAACATCTCATTTTGGGCATTTAACCGATTCACATTACAGCTATACCTAATTTTTGAAAAAAATGCATTTTTTTATTACCTCCCAATTAGTGAAGGTTACGGTCCGGACTGAACCGATACCCTCGGACCGGACCGGACCACGGTCCTTAAGAAAAAGATTGATCCAGACCGTGGTCCTAAATAAAAAGACCGGTCCTTGACCGGTTTTTTTATTTGTTTAAAAAACATATTTTTTAACCTAATTTGATTTGTTTTATCATTTTATTAAATATAAGAGTATTATATAAACAATAAAATTTATCCAATGGTATTGAAAAAAATGATTTTGTGCTTGTAGAGGGCATATTAAAATTAAGAGTAGATTTTGTTTTTTGTGATATTTTCATTTTCATCATTAGAAGTATATATTTTATGTTTTATCAGATGTCTGCTTAAGGTACCTAATTATTTTATTAAGAATAAGGTTAAGTAATTTTTACAATAAATTATACAGACAGTTTCTTTAAAAAAAATAGAACTATATATAACTAAAATATTTTAATAATATTATTGCTTATTTTGATTAATTTATTGCTTAAAAAATTATAAACAATTATTTTGTTACTAGGTGCTGACGATACATTAAATTTGGTACTGCAGTGAACACATACTCAATGTTTTTATTGGGACTATAAGTAAAATGTTTCTTGGACAAACTTATGGTTTTCATATTGTAAAATAAAAATTAACAAAATCTAAAATGACTCCTCTAGAAAAATATACAAAAAAATTATATTAATTGTATAGTAAAGCAAACTTAAACAATAATAAAAGACCGGTCCGGACCGTAAAAAATAAAAAGACTGGTCCGGACCACGGTCTCCAAGAAAAAGATTGATCCGACAATCGGTCCGGTCCGATCCCGGTCTAAGACCGATAGGACCGGACCGTTGACCTTCACTACTCCCAATCGCTTATTTTTTTTAAAAATTACTTACAATAACATTTTTTGCAATTCTTTTTTAAATTAAGTAAATATATTTTAAAGGAAGAACATTATCATTTTTTTTTAAATATAAAATTAATAAGGCATAATGCAAAATTATTAAAAAAAAATAGTAAAAGTTTATAAAGGTATTAAGAAAGTAATAAAGATAATTCAGGGAATAAGAAGGTATCGTTGGAGGAAGCAAGGAATTTTTTTTTAAATTATTATACCCAAAATAAAAGATATATGTTATATGGCGCCTAGTTTCTACAATAAATAATTATTATACAAATAAATATTGTTGGCGCCTTGTTTCTTAAAAAAAATTTAAAAGTTGAATCATATTATACCCAAAATAAAAGATATATGTCATATGGCATCAAGTTTCTACAAATAAAATTAAATATTCTTAATTTACATAAAAGATATTGGCGCTATTTTTGATATAACATAATGGAACATAAAATTGATAAATTTAGATATATTTGAAAATATTTACAAGGCCCGCCCGATCCTCGAACTCGAATTTTTTTTAAAAAAATACGTTTAAGCTGGGTAGGATACGGATTGCGCCTACTTTTGCATATCTCTAATTTGTACCATATTGAGATATGGGGATTCCGAATATCTCAGTTTTTAACCAATTTTGTGATAGGTGAAATATTAAACATTTAGTATCGCCACCACATTACCCAAGAAGTAATTGGCAAGCCGAGAGAATGGTAGCTATTGTTAAAAGCTGGCTAAAAAAAGAAAAATATGGAGAGGGAAAATGGTGGTTGTTATTATTAGCATATAACAATACTAAGACTGGCAAAGGAAATTCACCAGCAGAGATGTTTTTAGGTAGAAAAACAAGAACTGAATTAGATTTTTTGAAAGAAAAGATAAAGCAAAAGGATGATACATATGATGAGAAATTTACAGTTGGAAGTTTAGTATGGATTCTACTGTTTGATGGTCCAGTTAAATGGGGGAAGGGTATAGTAAGTAAGAATATAGGAAGAAAAAAAGTAGATGTAGAAATTGAAGGGCAAGAAGGAACCTTTACTAGACACCTGAAACAAGTAAGACTTAGAAGCTTAGGGCAAGTAAAAGATATATGATAATTAGAAGAAATAAATTGATGATAGACATTATTATGAGAATCATATTGATGATATACATAATTATGAGAATCAATTTATAAAGAGATAAATTGAGGATAGACATAATTATGAGAATCATATTGATGATAGACATAATGATGAGAATCATAAATTATAAGAAGATAGATTGATGATAGACCTAATTTGAGAATCATATTTTCAGATGAAATGAAATTGATGATAGACATAATTAGGAGAATCATGATTAGGGGAATCATAATTCTTGATGAAATAAAATTAATGATAGACCTAATTATGAGGGTTTAAACGGTTAAGAAAATACCAGGTGGATAGTCGATCATTAGAAGATTATGGAATATGTATATATTTTTATAGTAATTTTTGTAGATGGCATCATACTTCTGAGTAGGTAATAAAATTATAAAGATGGAAATTAGAGAAGTGGATGGATCGGCAGAATCGAACAGATGGATTGAAGCGACAAGAACGGAAGCCCAACAAAGATACGGGGAATTACTACAGGAAGTACCCAAAAAACAACGGATCGAACGTAGATTTGAGCCATATTAGGTTAAGAGAAACCGGTTTGAATGTTGTTCGTGCGGAGGGATGTACAAATTAAGGTTCTGTCCAATGACAATAGCGTCCTCAAGTAACGGTATATAGTTTTCGGTGCGGGAAAATGGGGAACTAACGAAAAGGCCGTGGAAAGATAGTCTTAAGGGTGGAGGTGTTGTATTCGTATACTAATTATTAATTTTGAATACATACTTGTAATTTTAATATGTAATTTTTATGAATTTTTATTATAAATCGACGAGGGTTAAATATTATTTTGAATATGTAATCAAGGAAATTATTTTTTTTATAGACTGGTAATTTTAATTATGTTTATGAATACTTGTAATTTTCATTATTTTTTTTATGAATTTTCATTATACTTGTAATTTTTGCATATTAAAAAGATGTATATAAATGGAAAAATTTTAAATAAAATAAGTACGTAGTTTTTTTGTATTAAAGAAAATTAGAGTTGTTAAATTGAAGAAATTAGAGTTGTTACGGTCTCTACTACAACCTTCGACAAGTTGATTACAATTCATATAAGGAATTGTAACATTCGTAAAATTATTAACCGAAATTATTAAATATTTATATATTAATTTTATTTAATACTAGGTTCCTTATTTGTATTAAGTTTCTTCCACTAGCTTCGACAAATAAATTACAATCCTATATAAGGAGTGGTAACATTTCTTTTAGCCAGTAAAAATCTTCAACAAATTTAAGGTGCTTGCTGTTCATCATAGCAGAACCTGAACCTAAAATATAAAATAATATTTATATAATCTCTTCCCATTTGACTTTACTTGCAGCTGTATCTCTATATTTAAGGTCACTCTTACACCTCAAATGTCTATAAGGTCTTATATTTTCCATCAATTGATATTCGTTCGGCATTTTTATTCTCTCAATTTGTAAAAGTTTAAAGATAAAATTATTAAAGTTTTACGATTCGTAGAACTTTTAAGAATCACGTAATTTGCGCAAAATCGAAAAAATCATTTAGGCCAACATTTTAATTTTACATTAAAAATGGCTTATATTATTTTTTTCGTTATTTTTATGCAATTTTTGATATTTAAGACACAGCCTAATAAAAAAAAATGATATACTGCTATTGTAATATTATTTTTGTTATAATTTATTAGTGATTTTCACGCCCAAAATTTTAAGCCAAAAATATTTTTTGAAGTTTAAAAAGATTTTTGAACATATTTTGATTTGATAAAGAATTTTAAATCTTGTTTGTAAATAAATCTTTTTTAAGGAATTCTTTAGTGATCTTTTATGTTTTATTTTATCATTTTTGTAAAGTTATCTATTTTTTAAGTATATTAAAAGAGGTGGTTTTCTAAATAGTTTTATTTTAAAAATATTTATATTAAACTTTTTTATGTTATTTTATATGAACTTTCGAAAGATATATTTTAATCTGACAATTCTCATATTCGTTATTTTTCAACATTTTTGAATTTTTTGACACAAAAGTGTATAAATAATATATATTGCAAAGATTTTAAATTATAAATTCAATTAAGATGTTCCTTGGAAAAATGACAATTAAGAGATATAAAGTAACATCTTCTACAGCAACCACAAATTCACCTTAACATCATCATCATCATGTCACCCAACCTCATAAAAGTGAATCCAGCAATATAACAGAACAATTACCATATTCATGGACAGTTCATAAATGGCTTTAAAAATAAGTATTAATTTCTATTCCCCTGTATAATCATCTTGACCAATTAAAACAAAATATTCTGGAAGAATTGGCAAATTTTTCATGAAAGTTAAAAATCAAATTATAATTACCAATATAATGTGACCTCATATTCTCTAAGTAGAAAACAACAGACTAAATAACAAAACCTATTTGACTATTCATCTATTATATCAATGACCAATTGAAATAACCTTAATTAAGCAACTCCATCTTTTTTTACACACATCAGAAGTAACATCTCCCCAATTATAAATCCACCTTACCATCCCAACCTTAAAATTGAATTTAGTTGGCACTACAAACTGAAGCAATTTATAAATTCACCTTAGCATCATCCATCAAGATGGTTACAGCACATTATTATATCTTCAAGCATTTATGACATTTGACACTCTTTTTAAAGAGAAACAATAGAGATATAAAGTAACATCTTCTACAGCAACCACAAATTCACCTTAACATCATCATTATGTCACCCAACCTCATAAAATTGAATTCAGCAATATAACAGAATGTTGTAAAGGAAAACTAATTGGAATCTTAACAACAATTATGTACCAACAATAAATCCGGTCTATTTCCTCTATTAAAATCAAACATGTCTATTCTTCAAGAGGATTCAATTCCAAAGAAAGTGATAATTTAACTTCAAACATTAATATTCAAAAGTCTTCTCAATCCACCCAATTTAGACTCAAGGATTGCCTCCCTTTTTTTTCACCAGAAGTTATCTTACTTTCTTCTTTTTTTTTTCAATACTTATTTTTAAAACATATTTAACAACTTGTTTTTAAAAATAACTTTTAATCTCCAATTAGTTCAACACTTATAATATATCAATAAATTTACATATAGACTTTTTAATATTTAACATTATAACCAATTTAACACTTATTTTATACATTCACGAATTTCCATATTGATTCATCTTATAACATTTAAATATTCAATAAATTCACATATTTTTTTAAAACAACACTTAGCTTTCAATTAATTTAACACTTATATATATATTTATTCTTTCTTTCATTCACAACTATAATCACATACTCTCTTTTTACATGCACATTTTTTCTTTGTACACATTTATTCCTCACAATTGAACCAAATTAATTTTTTTTTTCTTTTTACTTTTTCATTTATATACTTCAAGACTCAAATTCTCTCACATTCCTTTTTATATCCCCATTAATACAAAATAATATTTCTTCTCCCTTTCATAAACATACCCAAAATAATTTTTTTTTCTCCCCTTTTATATATTGTTTTTTTTAACAACATTCAACATTTCAATTATTTAACATTTACATATATATATATTTTTTTTATTCTTTCATAATCACAACTCTCTTTTTACATGCATAATATTTTTTTTTTTTACTTGTACACATTTATTCCTCACAATTGAACCAAATCTTTTCTTTTTTTTTTACTTTCTTATATATATATATTCTTCAAGACTCAAATTATCTTACGTTCTTTGTAATATCCCCATTAATACAACATAATTTTTCTTTTCCATTTCATAAACATACCCTAAATAATTATCTTTTTTTCTCCCTTTTATATATGTTCCTCAGTCTTTCAATCTTTTATTTACTTTAACCATTACATTTATTAAAACAAATAACCAACCTCTTTCAAACACCAACCAACCCCAACAACCTTTATGCCCATTCTTTCCTCTCATATTTAATAACCTTAACTTTACAACATCATTATTCTCTGCAGATTATTTCTTCCTAGTCTCTGTCACATCCCCATTCTCAAAACAATTATTCACAACCTTTCTTTATCCACACAATGGTACGCTGCCCCACGTGTTCCAAAAACATAAAAATCACCAAATCCGGCCTTTTCACCAAGCACAAATCCAAAGGCAGTGCTTGTCCTGAGTCTAGAAAGCGTCCTTCCCCTCCCTTCCAAAATCCCCTCTCCATTTTTTCTACTCACAGTTATACTTCCACCTCATCCAATAACGCCCACATACCAACCACATCAGACACATTCATTTCCCTCCCACCTACCACTCACGTCGACATCATTAATTTTCTAAAATCCGACAAACCTCCCATTATTTCTAGAATTCCCAAAGGTTCTAGAATACAAGTAGCCAAAGCTCTCTCTACCTGTCTTCATTCACTATTAAATAACTTTTCCTCTCTAGATCATTGGCTCAAACTTTTTTCATTTTCTTTCACGACTCTCCAACCTCCCAATCCTGAGATTCACAAATCTTTAACCCAACAAATTAAAGACGCAACCATACACCCCCTCACCCTCACATCCACTTTTTCTCCTCATAATTCTAAAAAACTTTCCAGCCTCCAATTAAAGGCTAAGATAATTTCTAACAAAATAAACAATCTAAACATCAAATCTGCTCTCCGCTTACTAGCATCTGACGACTCAATTGCAACCAGTAATGAGGAGAGCTACAACAAACTTAAACTTAAGCACCCTCCTGGAGGTGACCTCATACCTCCTCCTCCGCCCAACATATTTCCCACTAATTTCACCCCCGTCGAGGTGCGCAAAAGTATCCTATCCTTTCATCACGACTCCTCGCCCGGGTATGATGGGCTTCGCCCCATCTTCCTCCAGGACCTTACATCCCCCCTCATAGTCAGCCAGGTCCCTATTTTACAGAATCTAACAACATTCTGCAACAAAATTGCACATGGACCTGTTCCCGAATCCATCA